AATCCTAATTCTCTAAACAGCCCCCTCTTTTGAATTTTCCATTTTAATCCCCCTTAATTGCTCTCTTAATCGGTTACTGGGCCCGGCATGCTGAGTGAGCAGAAGTTCTCGGTGGAACAATTTGTTCTGCTCTTGTATATAATCATGGACCTGTTGGACCGGTCCAAGGACCAGTCTAACAAATTTTTGTTCTTTATTTAAAATAATTAAACTCATGAATTAGGCCTTCACAGTATGATAAATGCAAATATTTCACTTTATTTCTTTCATTTCAACCCATGTAATTGTAGGTTCTAGTCCAAACCTTTCCTTTTATTTTTCCAAACTTATCTGATATATTTTTAACTTAATTAATTTCAACATTTTAAATCTCACACAATGCTCGTCATATATTGTATTCATCCAAAAAAGCTATCCACGTCTATTAAATTTTAAAATTTTAGGATCTATTTTTTCAACAAAAATTGACACATCAAGTTTAATGATTACTGTTATGTCATCACCCCTATGAAAATTTCAACGTCCATGATTTTCACAAACTTTGTTACCATACACCATACAATGTTTATCTTGATTATTCCTCCTACAATAATTTTCTGGTCTCCGACCTGTGCTAACATTCAAATGAATGGGTTCAATATTGTGGTAATACTCAACTTCAAATCCATCTGCATGAAATTGACTTGTTTCTAAATTTTAAATGCACTTATTAAAATGATTTTGAATTGTTTATGTTCTAATACACATCACTTTAATAATCTATAAACAAGAGTTTATATGGAGCTCTACTTATAGTTGACATATCAAAAAACCATAGACTATAATGCCAAATTTATGTAGAGATGTCTTAGGATCTAAGATTCCTGATACAAATAACTGATGTAATGTATGTTGAAATAAGATTCCTCATACGAATTCACACAAGCCAGATTAAGAATTTGTGTTTCAAACACCAACTTTCAAAACAATAGCTTTTCTTCTTTTGATATAAATAAGAAACACAAAAAATAAGTGCCTAACAATGATTTAATGATCATTTAAATCAAAGAAATCCTGTAAGCCAATAAAAACTATAAAAATAAAATAAACTATAAAAAGCACAACTGATCAAGATTCATGCCATAATAAGACATATAACTTCATATTAAATATTATTTTGTTGGAGTTATTGTAAGCATTTTATATCATGACTTTCATGATCTATTGTTTCATAGCTATTTTGGAAAATTTTTATTATGCATTTTACTAACCGAGCATTATACTATATAAATAGAGTTACATGTGATGAAACTTATTATATTTTCTCTTATGATGAGTAATCGATAGAAACTATTTTTCATATATGCAAAATGGGTTGATTCCAATATGATTCCTAACGATTATCTAGTGAGATCGCAACTCGTTCATTCATTTATTTCTCACATTAATTAATCTATCATCTTCCACGATAAGGATCCATAAGGCTTCTGATGCAGGACTACTTAGATGCAATGTTATGAATTTCACTTAGGCTTTGCACAACTCGTTGATTAGAATAAGTTCGGATTAAAATTACTAGCAATTATCCACGGCGAGTCAAACAATGAGGGAGTTAATCTTGTATAGGCTAGATCACATGCGCTAAGTTTGAACATTCAAGATAATCAAGAAAAAATAAAGCAATGCAAAAATAGTAGTTTCAAGTTAATCCCTAGTCTAACAATGAAACGTAGGATGCATAGAAGATTACACTCAATTCCTACAAATGACTAGGTTTGGCAAGAGCAAGTGAAAGAGTTTTCGTGATTACAACCAACCAATTGAGAATTTAGAGTTAGAAGAAATTGGGTACAAGTGGAAAGGAGAAAACCTTTGTTTAAGGAGACGTAGAGATCCGTCACTTGATGCCATCGAAGTACTCGTCAATGGATTCCATCATTCCTTGGTGATTGGAAGTAGAGTCTCCTTGGTCTTTGATCCCCCTCACAAGTGAGTACCAAGAGAAAGAAGTTTCTCCTTGCAAATGAATAGGAGGCAAAAGTTAAAGCATAATTCCAAAATCTGAAACGATTTCAGATTTGAATATCAAAATCTGAGAAAAAAAAAAATCTTAGATTTTGGGTAGGGGAGGTGTGGAAGTATTGGGAGAGAGCTAGGCGTGAATCTTCCTTGGAGTAATTGGGAGATGGGACGGCTAAGGAGGGATGGCGGGATGGAGATGAGGGAGGTGTGAAATCCTGAAGCAATTCCTTTGATTTGGGGAAATCAGTTTGCTGGATATGGCCAGGAGGAGTTACGGGTAAGAGGGGGGGAATTGAGGGAATTTGAAATATTTCCTAAAGTAAAGAGCTCACTTAGGAAATAATGTAAATCAAAGGGGATGGGGAGTTTCGGCTGTGGAGGTGGGGAAAAGAAACATTAATTATTTCCCAAAGGGGATTAGGAAATAATTAAGAATCAAATCCTAGATGGTTCCCATGGGGCCGGCGGCATACATGGCTGATGGGGGTTAATTGAGAGCAAATAAAGATTCATAATTTAGGTTTTAAAATTAGGAAAGATTTAATTTGAATCCTCTTGAAATTAAAATTTCAAAATTAGATCTAATCAAATACTTCCTAAAGTAGAGGAGCTAATTTAGGAAATAATTTGAATTCAAATTTGAAAGAATTTGAATTTCAAATTAATCCCAATAAATCTGAACCCAATTAGGAAACAAAATAAAAGAGGCAAGGGGATGAGTGGGCCGACGGCTATGGCCTTGGCCGGCGGCAAGGGGATTGGGGATACTTGGCCGTGGAGTTTGGAAGGAGAGGGGAATCCGGTGAGGTGGCCGGTGGTTTGTGGTGGTGGAGGGTGGGAAAGTTCGACGAGGGGATGATGACAAAGATAAGGAAGAGAACCACGAACCCGGCCGTCTCCAAGGTTGGTGGGTGATACGCCAATCTCTTCCTCTCCTAGGAAGCTCTCTCCATCAGAATTCTCAAACACACAATTCTCATGCAAGAAGGAATTTCAATAAACAATCATTCATCCCCTCAAAATAATACAAAGGGGGCTTTAAATAGCCTCATACAAAAGACTCCAAATAACATGACACAAATGCCCTTAGGCTTACACATGACAACTCCCATAAAAAGGGGTACAAAGGGAAATAATAAAACACACATAAGCAAATAATAAAATGCATGAAAATAAAATACATCGACTCAAAAATATAAAGACTCGATCGTGGCCGTAGATCGGCGGCCACGTCGCTGGTAAACTTTCCATGATGATCTGATGTCCCCATCAGCTTCCCACATTATTTTCATACTATTAGGTGACGATTGATACTTAGTGATGCTAATAAATATGCACTAACTAAAGATTATGTAAGGACAAGGGAAAGTCAAAGGAAGGAGAAAACAAATGGAATACATTATTAATAAGTACATTGACAGAAGTAAATGTGCAATGATCCATAGCTTTGGCTAATAAAATGATACTAAATAATCCTATTAGAGAAAATGTGCAATAAGAGAATGCGACAGGGCTGAAATTGTACATAGAAATTTTGAACAAGTGTAAGATTTTCCCACTTGGGAATTCACATATTTAGATATGATTGAAATGTTATGAATTGCAAGCTGCACAAAAGTTTCATAAATACTTGAATTCATATTTCTAATTTTCTCTTTACTTTATATTCCCGTTTAGGTTTTCCTTGCAATATATATTTAATGTTGATCATATTTTTTGAATTTTCTCCATACATTTATTTACAGATTTAAAGAGTCAAAAGTTTATCGTAACATTCAATAACTTTATAGGGAATATATAATAATATCCAGTGGTGACTATGAGAGAACTTGACTCTCACAAACATATTTCATAAGCAGCGCATGCCTGTCTTCTAAAGTCAAACTTTCAACAAAAAAAACTAAAGTTAATATTTCATAAAATTAATATTTATATTCCATCACCCAAATCATAAAATTTCCATACTGGCTTTTTCTAGCTCCTTTGTCCTTTTCTACCACTCAAATCAAACCTTAGAAGAATTTGTATTTAGAAATTAGTGGTTCTCAAAAGCAATGCTAAATTTTCCATCAAAATTATTCAATCAGTTACTTTAGCCACGCTTAAATAGGATCTTTGCATCATAATTTACAAAACCTTCCTGGGTTTTACAAATACAAACGCATTTGACATTTTTTTTACAATTTTTCCTTTTCTTCTTCTGTCACATGTTAGAATATCTCCTTTTCTGTATATATACCCTCTTTTTTAACTTTCAAAATGGTCGGAATCCTTACTAGGGTACAAAAACAACCAAAGCCAATAAGTGGAGGCATGAAAATTACAATCGAACTTACTATGTTTGCTATAAAAAGACATTAGTGCAGACATTCACTGAATAAAATTAACTAGATAACAACAATTATTAGCACAACTTGTTATTAGTGACAGTAAAGTGAAGCCTAATAATGCATGAAATGATGGTAAATGTGTTCCCTCCCATCAAAAGATGAAAACCAAGCATAGCTCAATAAATCATTGGGAGAGTTATTGTAAAAAAGTTGTTGTTTAAGTTGCTGTAAAAAAGGTTCATCCCACTCCATTCCTCCTGTCTTTCCCAGTAAATTTACAACATACTGTATCAAACCGGATTCTTAGCTGGAAACTCTAAATGATACCCTCCTCCTCCCAATTGATAAAGTTCTAATGAGTATACAGTCCTCCAAATCCCTCGTAGAATGTTCAAGCACCTTTACAAACCGCTTTTAGACTTCATAGAAGCAGTTTAAACCGCCTTTACTTAGATATTTAAACACCTCCAAATATCTTTTTACTGTGGAGGAACAATAGTCATTTGGCCAAATTAACAATTATGCAAAAGCAATCACTCGCATTCCCAATGTTTATTAGCGTCGCCTTAGCAGTTTTGAGAACGCATAATAATAAATCAAACTCTAGACAACTAGCAAATTCTACTTTTATGAGCTTAAGTTACCAAATGCCCTAATAAAGCCATAGAATTTCTCATGTCTAACAAGGAATGCCCAAATAAATATCTGATTTATTGAGATACTTCTCATCCCAATTCCTGCAATTTTCAATTTCCATTCTATTTCCACCTATGCATTCACATCTTCAATTGAAATGCTGGAAGATCTAGCACCAAAACAATGACAAAACAGTATATATGGTCCAGATTCATAGACTTAACCATCAAAGTTCCAAGCAAACTTACAAGAAGAAAAACGAATTTAATCAAGAAAAGGGAGCCAACTTCCCCGAGAAAAATCTAACTCCCAAAAAGATCATTGAAGAATACTTCAAGGACTACTTGTTGATGGGATGCCAGTAGTCACGGCGATAGCGATCAGGATCAACACTGATGATCACGTAGACAGCGTAGATGATGCCAGGGAGGTAGCCCAGGATGGTGAGGAATAGACAGATGAAAAACTCGAGCTGTTGCACGAAGTGTAAAAAAAATTCAGGAAACGAATAATAATATTGATTGGGTAATTAGTCGGAGAAGAAAATGATGGAAGTAAAAGGAATAGTTAAGAAATTCCTTACACTACAACAGCCATGGCGGAGGCAAACCCCGAGTGGTGGAAGAAGGATTGCGATCAATATCTCGAGGCATTTACAGCAAAAACTCATCTTTCTGGCTTTTCGCCTTACCCTTTCCGACTCTTCCCGTAGGTATTCGGTATTCGGATTTCCCCACACCGCTGTAGGGCAATAAAAACACGTGTCACTCAAGGGCTCAGTGCATCCGGGTGAGGTGGCATCTCTGGATTGGCTGTTTGCATGTCAGGTGATCGGACGCAATAATTTGCCCCTGCCTACACAGAGGCAAATTATTGCATCCAATCTCCCGACGCTGAGAATAGGTTCGAATATCCAATAAAAATTTGTCACGTCATCTGCGTAGTTGACTTGTGGGCTGATTAGCTTTAGTTGCGTTTTGACTACGCTTTTTTTACTTGCACTTTGTCTGCGCTTAATTTAAAATTTTATATTTCCGAATATTTTTTTATAACATGGACCCTAAATTTCAAAATCATAACATTTTAAAATTTTATTTATGATTATAAAAAAATTTATAAAACATATAAATAGGTATAATAATTAATAACACAAAAATATGATATTTATATGTAAAATATCTATAAAAATATTGCAACTCATAATTCAAAGATTTATTCAAATTAGTAATAAATATAGATAAAAATATCAATTTGATTTATTAAATATGAGTCAAAATAATCATACTATAAGATCATTTAATATTTTAAAAAAGCAAGACATTAAAATGAGATTTTTAAATAAAGAAAATCATTTTGAGGTCTCATTTTAATTTTTTATGTCATTCTAATATAAATATTTTCTTAGTTAAATATAAAATGAATGTTAAATATCTATTGCCTCGGTTTTCGAGCGGGAAATTCCAGTTCACTGCAGGATTCGAAACCCTCTATTAAAATAGTTCTTGCTACCCGACCGCGCTTCCGCACTCGAAAGGACGCTAATGGAGAGGATTTACGTAGCAGTTCGGGCTCGGCCCCTCTCGCCGGAGGAATCTAAGACAAGCCCTTGGAGGATTTCGGGCAACTCCGTCTACCTACACAACCAGCCGACCAAGTTCGACTTTGGTAGGTATCTCACCCTTCTCCCACGTTGTGATTCGTCCGATAGATTGGCGACGCCACAACTCTCCTTTTTTCACAGACAGGGTTTTTGGGGAGGATAGCAAGACAGTGGACATCTTTGAGGCGCGGACGAAGGAGATTGTTGCCTCCGTCGTTCGTGGGTTCAATGGTGAGTTCTCTCATTAGGAAATCTGGTTATGGTTTTACCTCTCGGGGTTTTCTTTACGTCAATTTGATTATGTTGTGTTTTGAGTGGCAATGTTGGAGGAAAGCTTATTTACTGTTTTTGTGATGGGGAAAGGTAAATACTGCGAGTGCTGGGCTCCGCAATGATTCTCTTTCCTCTTGCAGCGCATAATCGGGCAGCCAATTAGTTTTTGTAGCTGAGAATGGGAAAATTTTGGTTTCTTATGTACAGATATGCATCGCGAAACACATTCATTTTGCTTTTAAAATTGCGTTGTGAGCATAGAAAGGCCAATGTTACTGATAACAACCAATCCACTAGATTAACAAAGAAAAAGATATGAGTATTTGAAAATAATTAAACGCTTTCTCACTCATAGTTTTTTTTACTCATATTTTTTTTCCACGAAAAGTGCTCCAATAGGAGCGAAAAACTGGCAAAAGGTATAAAAACTCCAAAAAATTGATTTGAAAGGTTTCTTATGGCTGAAATCATCCACCTTTCCCTCACTCAGTTACTAGATGCTCAAAAGCTCAGGTATACGAGCTGCTTCCTCAACCATAAGAAGTGGTCATAGTTACATCTCTTTTTCTCACACCTAGTTGCCCTCCAAAAGCCTCAAAATGAAAACGGTAGCATGCAGCTATAAAGTTGATTTTAAACATCAGTTAATTAACCTATAACAACAAAAGAAATTAGAAGTCTTAGAGTAACCACCAGTGATATGAATATCCATGGTAGAATAAAATGGAAATAAACAATGAAGGAGCACATGAGCACTTCAATTCAACGCTGAACTCGGTAATGTCAAGATTTTGAATTTTGATGTTTGAAAATGTCAGGTAATATATTTGTGGATATGTTTTGAGCAGTAGAAGTGATGTTTGTATTTTATTTCACTTTGTAAATTACAGTTGGAGATATATGCTTTGGGTGTTTAGTTCCCCTTCATTATTTCATAGTCGAAACTAGGGTTCTTAGGTGGTAAATGTCTTCATTACAAAATTTCATGGGTGTTAATAAATGATGTTGTGCTTCAAAGCATGATGAGGCTATTCGATCACAAGTGACATATGCTTACTACTATAATATCTTAAATTGTTCCATCTCCATGTTGGTAACAGGTTGCAAAAAACCTAGGCCTTAGTTCCTTACAGGCCAATATGGATATGGCAGGCAGAGGTTGCACATTATACTAGTTGATTGGTTAACATGACAAAGGGTTTGTCGAATGATCATTATTGTTGTGGCAGAAGGAGGTTAAGTGACTAGTGCAATTATTCTTCATAGGCGCTAATGAGATGCGAGCAACTGTCGATTGCTAGAAGGCCTAAAAGCATTTCCCATACCATGCTTTGTGGGAACTATCATCACAATGATTGTCTAGTGTTGGAAAGGCTATCAAAAGGTGATCAAGGACAGCCTCCGAAAGGCTGCAAGGCTTTGTCAAATGTCATTATGTAGTAGATATTTCCTCCTGGAGTTGGCCCTTATGCTTTCCATTTCCTAAGCTTTCACATGCTTACTCACCTAGTCTTTGGTTGCTAGCTCTCTTTGTTTCTTGGGTTTTATTGTTTAATAGTTCAAGGGTTTTAACTACTTAGATTTAAGTTTTGGGCTCAAGATTGTTTGCAGCTCCTTAGGCTCTTGTACTTTTTGGACTGATATGGTGGCTTATGTGGATGGTTCTTAATGCATCTTGGATAAGGGGGTGAATGAATGCCCTACATTTGTTCTCCTTGATTTTTATCCTTATTTAAAATTAAAATAATAGGGTTTTTAATCTAGATGAAATTTCTATTATGCTTTTGCCTTTCCTTTTTTTTTTTTTTTGGCTTTCGCATCCATTATGTTCATGGATTCTAATGGACCTATTTGCCTAAAAAAGTTCCTCAAGATGCAAAGAAAAGAAACAAATCAATTCTTATGCCATTCCTTAGGTTTTAGGCCCTCCTACATTACTGCCTTTGCACTGTTGCCCTTACGGTAAATCTCATTCCCTATTTTCATATCATGCTTGGCTCTTTGACTTTGATTTTTTTTATGCGATATCAACTATTGTACCTACGTATAAATCTCATTTTTTGGGCATATTGGAAGGCCATAAAAAGGACCATGTTGTGGTGCTTACTCATAAGCCTGAGCCAAGATGGATGATACTACCATGACATCGTTAAGGGGAAAAAGACCTAGATGTTTCATAACTTACACCTACAAGGCAAAGCATCTCAGGGACATTGACTTGGGAGAGACTTATATGGACTTCCCTATCAATAGTGAGTATATTTTGCATGTTTGGGTTAATTTATAAGATGTGGTTAATTGTAGCACTAATGATAATTATAGGGTATTGCTTAAAATAAATTATTTAACTTAGTGATTGATCGAATTGACCAAGGTAGAGGGAGAGGGATTTATAGAGAGGGTGACAGAGTCAGTGAATGAGATGTGAGGTAGTAGTGTGGCACATCAGTAAGGACTGGAGAAGGGGAAATGAGAGGTGGTTGTAATTTTTATAATTTTTTTTGGTATATAACAGGGTGGAGGGGGCTATGATCCCCTGTTAATGTGCTGATGTTGCCTTGGGATTCTAGGGACACTTCACCATCTTTATTTTTGAATTAGTGGGCGGTAAAGCCCCCCTTTATATTTTATTTATGCTCACATACAAAATACGATGGGCTTTTGATGGTTGTTTCAGCATTCTAGACACATTATGATGATTCATTTTGTGAAATGGGTGGCATATCTTAGATATTTTTTTGTTGATTTCTATTGAAGCTTTATCTACTGATCATTGTCATCACATTTGATAGATTTGACTTATGGAACACATATAGAGGTCAATAGAGTCATGTCCTTATATTTTATATCAATGCTATAAGTAGTCACAAACTCACAATTATTTTCTTCTTTCATCTTCATAACACAATATTTTCACTAACAAAAAAAATGATTTCCTATCTTCACAGAATTTAACATTATTTGATTTTGCATTAACTTCAACCCTTAAATGATTTTTCTAGGAGTTTTTTTACATATATGAAAATCCTTGAGATGCTTCCAATGCTGCTTTATTAGATTTTGTTGTTACTAAGCATATCAATAATAAATGATGCAATAGGTCTAATCATGGTCAGATAGATAATGTTGCCAACCAGTTGTAAATATTTAGAAATGTTTCAATTTTCAAGAATGCTTGATTCTGGGAGGTTTGCTGAGGATATTTTGAGGAGTTAACAAGATTGCTTCCAAGTAAATGAATTTCTTTAATTAAGTCCTTAGCATTTTTTAAATATATAAAAACATCTCTTTTTAAATATAAAAACTCAATGCTAAGAAAGTACTTTGGGTGCCTAAGTTATTTGGAAACAATCTAATAATAATAATAATAATAAAAATAAAAAAATTATTATTATTATAAAAAAATTATTATTATTATTATATATGGAGTGCAATTTTAGTAGTAATAGACCTAGTGAGGGGATTGTGACTTTGGGCGATCAAGTATTATAAGTAACGTTTTAGATATCTCTGGAATTATTGTCATACAGCTCAGAGTGAATGGTAAATGATGGGGTATTTATCAGGCAGAATTCAAGTTGATGGTTGAAGTGGAGGAAATGCTCGGGGCTTGTTTGTGATAGAAATGTACCCCTCAAACTTAAGGGAAAATTCTATAAGATTGGTAGTGAGGCCTGCAATGCTTTATGTGCCGATGTTGGCCTTTAAAAGAGAAGCATAATACTAAGTTAAGTGTGGGAGATGAGGATGCTCAGGTGGATAGTGTTTACCCTTAGAGATAGGAATAGAATGAGCATATAGTGAAAAGGTTGGAGTAGCTCCGTAGTAGATAAGATTAGAGAAAGTCGCCTTTAGATGGTTTGGTCACATAAAACGGCTGGCCTTGACGATGACCGGTTAGGAGAGAAGAGGTATTAGATTGCTTATGTTAAAAAGGGGGGTGACTAAAAGATTTGGTTAGAAAATATTAGGAATGCCCTTTCTTTATTAGATTTAAACGAGAATTTGACTTTTAATAGGACACAATGGAGAAAAAGGATTCATGTAGCCGACCCCACGTAGTGGGATAAAGGCTTGATGTTGTTGTTGTTGTATTATAATAAAATAGTAAAAATAATAAAAAAATTTTTAGTAGTAATAATATTAGTAGTAATATTTGTAACAATTATTTTAATAATGATGAAGATAGTGATAGTAGTACTAATAATATTTTTAATTATAGTGACATTACAATGATAATGTTAATGTTAGTAAGAGATAATGTTAATGTTAGTATGTGGAGATGATATGATGATGATGATAATAATAATAATAATAATAATAGTAATAGTGATAGTGGTAGTGATTGTGATAATAATAGTTGTAATAGTGATAAATAGTAGTAATATTAATAATAATTTATTGTAAAGATGCATCGATGTTATCTTTAGACATTTTAATTTGTAAATGCCATATTTCAAATGTTCTTTTTATATTCTTTGTTCTATATTACTAACATGTAGGCTCTTTGCTAATAGGTACAGTTTTTGCTTATGGGCAAACCAGCAGTGGTAAGACTTATACCATGAGAGGATCAGTGAAAGAACCAGGAATCATCCCGCTTTCTGTGCATGAATTGTTTTGTAGTATTGAAAAGGTCTCTGTTTTTTATTTATTTTTCCTCACTATATATATAGATTTTTTCAGTAATTCCTTTGATTATTATGCTAATGCCTTTTTTAAAGCACCACAACTTTTCCATTTTACTTTCGTCTTTTGGTCTTATGATAGAATTATATCCATGTCCTTTTTTTGGAATAATTATATACTTCTATGTTATCATCATGACATATGTTTCATGTACTAATACACAAGATAAGATATTATTGGAGTAACTTTGAACTGACAATTGATTTAGGCCCTAATGGTGGATGATGATGAATGAATGATGCTTTGATATCAAGATGAAGTGAAAGTCCATGTATTTGACTTGTAGTGATATATGTATACTACTTGGATTAAAAGATAAGAGCACTCATAATTAGCCTGATGAATAATTTTTATTAACAATAATCTTAAAATTCTACAATTGCTAGCTTAAACCCTAAAGGGAAGCTGAGCACATGTTAGCCTCCTTTTATTTAATAAAGGAAATCAAAATAGATTGCACTGGTAACACCCCTTAGGCACCATCAAGAGGGGATACCTGAGCCCCATTTATCACATAATAAAATTCCTGTAATTCAAACTAGGTTGAGCGCATGCTAACCTCCTTTTATTTAATAAAAAAATCAAGATAGATTGCACTAGTAGTGGCACCTCTTAGGCACCATTTGAAAGGGGGATGCCTGAGCCACATTTATTAAATAATAAATTTCATATAAATCACTACATGCTCTCTCTCTTATTTTATGAGCCCTCAGTTTCTCTATAGCTGCCGACTTCATTTGAGCTTCACAACTCCAATCGTTCCCTCTTCTCTCAACTGCCCCTCCATTTTGCAATCATGCTATGTTGTTGCACAAAGGTAAATGATGCATCCCAAACCTCCATGCATGCGCCTCTTACGCATTTCTTTATGCAATGATGAAACTATAATATTGCATTTTTTAATGATTTCTGTGTGTAAGAAACAGGCTCAATGTTCATAAACATCTTTTTTGGCATATTGGATGTAAAAATTGCCATCCACGTGCATCACTGTCTTAGTGCTGCTTTATATCTTGGTTGATGTTGAAAATATGAAGTATATGATAATATGCCTATATGTTTACATATGTGCAATACGATATCTTTTAGTTCTTTTAAATTAAAGATGCTTGCTAGCATTTTTTTTTCTAGTTTGCATGATGTCTTCAAGGCTTGTATATTTTATAAATTATTCTGTGAATTGCATGCCATGTGATGTATAAAGCAGTCCTAAAATTTCCTCACATTATCATTTTTTTTTATTAAGCTTGTAGATTTTGGTAAAGATAGATCTGACATGTGTGGGCAGTTCAACTTCCTCAATCGATTCTGTTTGTTCATGACTTGTTACTTTGCGCTTTTATGTCGGGTCATGAAACATCGAGCTTGTTGTTTCTATTGGCCCTGCGCATGAGGAATTATTGCTCATGATCAATCTGCTCATGAGAATTTATGTAAAATGGTAATTAACTCAATAAGAATATTTAAAATGAATGAAAAAAGCGGATTCATACAACCGACCTCAAATGCTTAGAAAAGGCTAATGATGATTTTGATTTAGTTATCTTTTGTTCTGCAGGAAATGGGTAGGGAATTCCTAGTTCGCATGTCTTACATGGAGATATATAATGAGGAGATCAATGATTTATTGGCCCCTGAACATCGGAAGTTGCAAATTCATGAATCCCTTGAGGTATATTTTGAGCTTTAATATGATTTGTTACATCATGGGGAATATTACTCTGCTTTGTCTCTTGCTCAATTTACCTGTATTCATCTATGAAGAGAGGCATATATGTTGATGGTTTGAAAGAGGAGATCGTTACTTCCCCTGATCAAGTTCTTGAGCTAGTGGAATTTGGTGAATGTATGGCTTGGAACGCCCATTTGTCCTTCTAGTTGTGTTGTAGCAGCATGGAAACTTCAAGCCCTGAAAACTCTTTATTAAACCATGCAGCTCATCGCCACATTGGGGAGACAAATATGAACATTTACAGCAGCAGGTCTCATACAATTTTTCGCATGGTATGTTAATTCATGGGGTTATCTAGTTTATTTTGGTGAATATTTTTTTGCTGTATTGTCTTTCTTACTTTTATATTATTGCAGTTTGTTGAAAGCAGGGAGAGAATTGAAGAAGGTGATTCAATTAACTGTTTTGATGCTGTACGTGTTTCTACGCTGGTATGCGATAATAGAATTGATCGTGTTAGTATCATACTTTTGCAATGTTTTTCCTTAATTCTGTTTTTTTTTTTCTTTATATCAGTATTTGCCGTCTTAGTATCATACTTTTGCATGTTTTTCCTTAATTCTGATTTTTTTCTTGATATCGTTTTATATTATCTTCTTTTATTGTTGTTAATGTTCCTATGTTAGAACTTGGTGGATTTGGCTGGTTCAGAACGTGTTGTTAAGACTGGTGCGGAAGGTTTACGGTTGAAAGAGGGCTCCCATATTAATAAAAGCTTATTGACCCTTGGCACTGTCATAAAAAAACTAAGTGATGGCGTTGAAAGCCAAGGGTAAGTTATTGTATTAAGTTTTTTATTACTGCGATCCAGTGGGTGGCTTGCATATTTTTTCTAATGGAAGATTGTGATGCAGTGGCCATGTACCTTACCGTGACAGCAAGCTCACTCGAATTTTACAAGCTGCTCTTGGTGGAAATGCTAATACTGCTATTATATGCAACATTACTCTTTCACAGGTTTCTATTTTAACTCGATATGATTTTTTTTATAGATTAGACGGATATATTTTCATAGGTCAATTAGTATGGATGTCTTAACTATATTTCAATACTACAAAATAAATTCTCACCTGCACCTGCATATTGTCTCTCATTTGGATTTTTCTCTTCTGCTAGCGTATGATTGCATATTCACTTAAATAAATCATGTAGATGTTTTGGTTTTGGAAAATATTTTCCTGTTTTTGTGCCATAAATTTTTTTATTCATTAGCAATTCTAGTTCTACTAATGATTTTAGTGTACATTTATCTCATTAAAGAAAAAAAGAAACTCATTACATATTTTGATGCAACAAGGGCGTAGTGGCGTACCATGGATGTTGCCACACGGCTTGGGAGCCGGAGTATTTAAGTGGAAAGAAAGGTTCTAACAGTAGTTTGAAGCTTAACCTACCATCTAAATGATGAGGACATCGGAGATCAACGGCTACGATCGTGTCTATTTATTTTCATGTATTTTATTTGTTATTTGTACTTTTCCATTTCTACCCTCACTTGAGGGCGTTGCTTTATGTTGGCCCTAGGGGCAATTATGTCTTTTATGTTTCCTTCATGTAATTGGCTATTTAAGCCCTTTGGATTCTAGCGGGCTGTTTACTTACTGAGACATGAACTCCTTGGATTCCTGTTCTGGTTTAATGTGGAGCTGAATTCCGAACTGGGAAGAAATTTCCCGTGGCTTTGCTGCTTTGAACTCACGGCCTGAGGTGCTGGCTCCTTGGATCCGTGAGGTGCTGGCTGTTTTTCCGAACTCTGTGGCTTGGCTGCTTTTGGGTCATTTGAGTTTATTTAACAAAGTTTGTTTTAAGTTCTACTCATTTTGTCAGTGTTCTTCTTGTATGTCTTTTGTGTTCAAGAAATATAGGGTCCCCTATATTCCTTGTCTACATCAAAAACTGTATAAGCTTCTCACTAATTATTTCACTTGTTGTAAACGAAACCCCCTTATTTCGTCCATTCACGTGAATCACCAGGTATTTTCCTGAAAATGGCTAATAACTAATAAATGTGAGCCATAAATATATAATTCAGTTGTTATATCACGGTTCCAGATGACAATAACTTAAAAGAAAAAAGAGATGCTATGCATGCCAATCATTATGTTTAAACCATAAAAAAATCATAAAACTTGGATTTTCATTTCAATTAACAACTATGATTATTAAATTTAGAAAATTGGAGAGGGAAAAGCTTAATTTTATCATACAAAATAATTCTTATTTATAGATCTACACATGATATCTTAATAAAGAAATAAATAATTACATAATAATGCATAATTTTTCAAATATAATCCTTCCTAAATCAGCCACCCAAACATGGAAGGAGATCAGTGTGATCCAGGTGAGCTTCACACGGATCCCTATCTTGACCATAGGATCAAGAGCCAAAGGACAGCTAGGATGGCTTGGATGGTATTTGACACTCCCCCTCAAACTGGGGAATATAGACCTGTCATTCATAGCTTGGTAATTAGTCCCAGAAAGGTAGAGTTATCAAGTCTTTTAGTGCACCATAGAGTCATCCATTTAGTTAAAAATTTGGGAGGAATTAGCTTCAAATATTACGACGACTAGTGATAGAGATGAAGGCTATATCAATAAAGCTTGCAAGGTGTAGGGCAACAATGAAGTTTGCGTTGAACAATAGTCCTCAAGATACCTAAAGTGGAAATAAAGGTCGGTGGTGGGGCAGCAGGGATAGTGGATTATTTATCCTTCGGGTCTATCTCCCTCTTGGTTCTCAAGAAAAAGGCCGACAATGAAGGTACGACAATAGAAAGAAAAAAAATGTTTTTAGGGTTGTGACAAGCTTCAAGGACAATAATAGAAAAAAACACGTCTCAAGCGACTCAGTACTCGACACGTAGATGTCATCCTTCCTAGGCCGTCCGATCGATCCAGCCTTCGGCCCAATGCAAATCAGTCGTCTGACTCCACCCAAAAGGACTCCTGTTTGATTGGCCCGGTACAGGCGCATGCAAGGCCTTTGATATGATCACAGGAGGAGGTTTTGCGCTTGACTTCTCTCGCTTCTCCTCATTCGACTCTGGATGTTGCACGCAAGAATGAAGATCAAGCTCGATGCCTCATCAGGAGGCCCTGGTCGCTGTCTAGATGTACAATTTCTTGTCTCGTGCAGTCGCACACATGCGAGAGGAGGCTTTCACTCGGCTCCGCCCCAGACTCATTCAAGAGTAGCCATCTCGCTCGATCTCTTTGGTCTTGGACGCAGGAAGGAAGCAGGACTAGTGTTTCTCAGAATTCTGACAATGAAGGCGGTGGAAGGACCAGTATTCCTTAGAATTTTAACAAAGAAGATCGACTGTGGGAACTTGTGGTGGCGTGCATGCCGGCAGGATTTGACGCAAATGCAGATGATGCGGGAAATTTCAGGGACCAGAGGAACGACACAAAAGCTGTTCAAACACATGGTCTCTCGTTTCGTGCAGTCGCACAATCTCTTGTCCAGATGCAAGCTCTTGCTTGGTTCCTCTCGATTCCGCCCTAGAGATTTAAGCTTCGTTTGGGACAACTGTTTTGCTACTATATAAAACTGCTTGTTAGTACAAAAATTTCTAATTCAAGAAATTTGTGTACTAAAAAGCCATTTTAGAAAGCAACAAAGAAATTGTCTCAAACAAAGCCTTAGTATATCACCAAAACAGTTCTGTTTTCGTCTTGATGCACGCCCTTATCTTTCTCCCTCCGAAGTCTCGGCCTTGCATAAATTACCTAAAATAATGATTTTATTGATTTAAAATGCTTTTTTAATACTAGATTTTTCATTAAAAATAATAATAATATTAAACTACTTATTACCACCTTGAAACATTTCTCCTTTATTCAAGCCTCTTAGGCCCACAACATGACTTGAACGCACTTGAAACTCACGTGCCTAATTTCCTCTTCCTTCTTTCTTTCGTTTTCTTCCCCTCTTTCTCTTCACACTTCTTTTGCTTCTTTTCCTCTCCTTTTTCTCCTCTTATTTCAGTCACTGTAATCCCGTCTTCAATGTCGCCAGTGGCTCTCTCTGTCTCTCATGATCTCCCGCTTCATATGCTCAACAGAAGGTTTTATGCGTGGGAAAGGGACTATGATCCTTAGGATGCATTTATGTATACAAAATTATATCATTTTTAATTGATTTTGTGTTTTGCCATCTTAATCACTCCGATTTTTAATAATTCTGGAGAAACTAGAATATTAGGCAATGGCTATAATAGATTAATGTAATATACATTAAATTAAAATATATAAACTTCAGAAAAATTTAATTGCATGCATAAAGTGTTGATTATTTTTATATGCTCCCATATATCAAAATGATCGAAATGAAGTTAGTTCATATAGAAGTTATAGATTTATTATAAATAATTGCTAGTTTATGCTATATATTTGGTTATAATTTGTGCTAAAATTATATACAAAATTTTTATTATAAAATACATGTATAAATTCTTGTTAGATCATTTATAAATAAAAAATAGATAAAAATTAAAAATTTATATTATATAATTAAATAAATAAGAAAATAAATAGAGTATAACATTAAATCTATTTATTAAAAATTAAATATCATTTACATTATAAAAAAATTAAATAAAATTAAATGTTGAAACATGTAGGGTATATGTTTAGAACTTGAAGGCTTTATTTTTGTTATTTTATCTCACATATCCTGAACAATATGTGTTAGCATTATTTATATAGTTTTTTTAGTTCACATGAGTAAATAAATCACAAGGATGGTGGGGCCATGTTATAAAGTTTAGTTGGTGCTTATTTGATAAATAATTATTATTAACATTTAATGCTTATTTTAAAATTAAAATAGATTAAATTTAAATTTAATCATTAAGTCAAATATTTTATATTAAATTTATTAAATTAATTTATTTAATTATATAAATGATTTATTAAAATAAACCATCTGGTTTTTGAAAAACAACAACAACATCAAGCCTTTATCCTACTACGTGAGGCCGGCTACATGAATCCTTTTTCTCCAATGTGTTCGGTTAAGAGTCAAATTCTCATTTAGATCTAATAAAGAAAAAGGTCATTTCTAATATTTCCTAATCAAGTATTTTTAGGTCTACCTCTACCGTTCTTAACATAATTTCTAATCATCCATATACAGTTATACATAATGAGTTCAATGCCTTAGATGTTATGCAACACATGAGTTATTAGTTTTATATGATCAGAAATAATATGAATATAAAATAAGCTGCAAATTTCTTATTTTCATTTTCATTATTTCCTTAGAAATATTGAGTCATATTTATTTTTTAATGTCGTATCTTTCATGTCATCTTATTTTTATGGACTTTGGTGGCTAAAGGTTTGGCTAACAACTCTCCATTATTAAGAGTTAGGAATTTTGTTTATATAATCTTGATAAAGGTTGGGCTAATCAATTCTTCATAGTGGGTTAGGAAAAGAATAGTATTTAAAATTTAATCTTAGATATCAGTTTGATGTGAAACAATCTCATGCGAAAATGATTTGCTTAAGAAAAAAATTGCACGCTTAGATTTAGAGGTGATAATAAGCAAGATCTTATGTGGAATTAAACGGTAAGATAAATATTAAATGGCACTTAGCTTAGGTTAAATCACATGAATAAAAGTTAAGTTAAAAAAAAAAGCCAACTTAATCCGACATTGCATGAATATTATATTAGAAATGATGAATTAGGTCCTCCTTGCGCAGAAGTTCCTTATTTCTCCTTCTTTTAAGCTTCAATATTTTGTAAACAACTTTGCTTTTCTCTTTTGTCTTCTTCCTTTTGTTCATTTCCTTCTTCCTCCCTTTCTTTCCATCTCTTTTTCCTTCCTTCTTTGTTTTCCTTCTTCCTTTTCTTCTTTTATTTCTCTGTTTTTCTTCCAGCAACCCGCCACCAAGCTAGTTTCTTTTAAGCCTTCCAGGCTCTCAGATATGGGAAGAAAGAGGAGTTAACTACTCTATATAAGTACATATACTTGTAATAGTGTATTAGATTTAATTAAATCTTAGTTCTATGACCATAGCACCCCACTGCCTAAGAATAGAGAGTTCATGGTGCTATAGTGCACGACATGACAATAGTATTCCTACAGTTAAAATTGGCTTTTACAGCTACATTGATAGAAAATTTCAACCAATGGAAATCTTATTGTCAAAATGCAACCAAATTACAACGCCAATTATTTTAGGTTCAAATTTTGATAAATAATATTAAAAAATCTTCAAAATCATAATATATAAAAATATTCAAGTAAAATCTACCCTCAAAGTTTAAAAAAAATCATGAGGGTAACAAATTTGAGAAAATTTCAATTCACAAAAAATCTTTGTTATATCAAGCTTATTGCTATGATCACTCTCAAAATATCTCATGCCTGAAAGGATATGATACATGCTTTAATTAGGTGGTTTTGCCTCTAAATTTCTCTACTAAATTGAATGTTATGATATAGGCTCTTTGATTGTATAGTTTTGTCGTACAACAACACCATTAAATTACCATTAAGGCCAAAAGCATGAGTGTTTCTCAATGGTTCAGTTCTTGCCCATTCGCTCGCTCGCTCTTTTCTTTCTTGTTCTCCCAGTCTCCTTTTTTGAATCACTCACCTCGTTCGCTCCCTCTCTCTCCTGCTCTTCTACGTCCACTAGGTTTGCCCCCACACCTTTAAGAGGCGAGATTGGCCCCCTTACGTTTTAATTGAAGTGACAGTAGATCGCATATAATCTGTTAATTAAAAATAACGTCATATCTGAATTAATTTGTTTAGTAAGTAATTCAAAAAATATATTATTCAATTAGATAAAATAATACTTTTTATTTTGAGAAATTAATCTATTTTAAATAAATTCAATCTTGATGGCTCGATTAGGTCTTACATTTAACTGTAATTATTAATAAACTATTAATTTTGAGCACTTATATTTATTAATTAAATAATTAATTTTTTTGATCTTTGCAATGGATCTCTCGTGAATGCAGGATATGAAGCTGTGTTGATACATGCAACCTGACAATTGTATTTGTTATGAAGTTGTTTAACTGAATCAGTCTAAGACCTTGTTTTAGAACTTGAAAAATAAAAGGCTCTTCACGAAGTAGCAATTTCTGCATGCATATCTTCACAGGCTACCTCACGCCACTGGATAGGCCGTTTGTGCAGCTAGTAGAATAAAGGAATTTCTTGAGCGTTTAACTTTCAACATTGATTTGTTGTATGCAATGCAATGCTGGAGCCATAAGTAGAAAATAACCCCAATTTCCCTTCTTTTTAATCAATATTCCCAGTCGTTTTGCTTGAAAACGCGTGATGGAGACATCAAATCGTTGAAGGTTTATCAGAGGTGTGGCCGCCGATCTACGGCCACGTTCGAGTCATTGTACTTTTGATTTATGTTATGTATTGTTTTATTTATGTGTCGTTGTATTTGTTTTATTTTTTATGTTATTTTATTTCCCGTTGTACCCTTCTAGTAAATGGATGTCATATGTAAGCCCCGAGGGCATTTTCGTCTTTTATTTCTTGAATCTCATGTACTAGGCTATTTATAGCCCCTTGTTTTATTTTTCAAGTAATGAATGATTATTTGAGAATTTTGTTTTCTTGTGGGAGTTCTCAAGAGAGCTTGAGAGTTTGGAGTGGAATCCCTATGAGAGGGAGAATTGCGTAGTACCCACCAACCTAGACGAGTCGGGTTCGTGGTTTTCTTCCTTATCTTAGTTTCTCTCTTCTTTTTCTTTCCCTCCTCCCACCACCACCTCCGGCCATACTACTTCCCTTTCCCCTAACCGAATTCCCTCCTCATCACCCAACCGACCACCCAATCCTCCTGAGACCGGCGGCAACATCCCCCCTAGCCGCCGGCCCCTTTGGCTTTCCCCCTTCCTTTTTCCTTATTTCCTAATATGGATTAAGTATATTTAGGATTGAATTTGAATTCAAATCCAAGTAAATTGAAATTCAAAATATTTCCTAATTTACAAAATCTATTTTAGGAAAGTCTTTAAATCACAACCTAATCAATTTATAATTGATTGAGATTTAAATTTTCCTTTCCTAATTTACATATCCCAATCTAGCAAACATTAAACAATTGCCACAAACCCTCTTTCCCCTTTGTTGCCGCCGGCCCTCTCTTTGGGTTTGGAATCGGAAATCTTTTCTAAAAACCAATCCTTCTCTTTAGAAAGATTTCCAAACCTGAGATTTTCCCCTTAGCCGAAATTTTCAAAAGCTCCACTCTTTAATTGCCTTCCAAATCCTAACATTAAGATTTGGAAATTAATTCCTAATTCCCCCTATCTCCAATTTCCACCGTCCCCCCCCTCTTGGACTTCTTTGGAAATCTTTCCTTATGGCCATGCCTCCTCTTGGAAAGAGTTTAAAGCCATTCCCTGCTACTGGCCGAAATTTCCAAAGGCTCTCTCATTGAACTTCCTCCACTAAATCCTCTCCAAACTCTATAAAACATTGAGCCTTCTTCTTCTTCCTAAGACTGCAGCCAGAAATTTCAGCCGTTGTCTTGCATCCTCAGTCCTTGGAAGACTTATAACTGCTGTTTTTGGAAGACTGAATTGCTGTCCATCAATTTCCCTCAGCCCAAATTGCCGTCTCTTCGTTGGCGAAGACTTCCCTTATTGTTTGGTGGCTCCCTCAACTCAAAACAACAAATCATCTATGGATGGCTGATCCAGAAACAAAATACGGCCTCTCCTATGATGAGCATGGGTTTGTGTGCATCTTGCATTCAACCTTCTTCGACGTCAACCCGAGGGTCTATCACACGGTAGAATATTACATCCAGCGTATCTTGGATACCTTAGTGGAAGCAATCGAAGAGCAATTGGAAATCGTCGAGTGGAGGATTGCCACCGATCCTTGACGAAGGTTTTAGAATCCCAACTTTTCTTGTATTTTCTAAATCTAATCTTTCCTGTGATATTGATTGTTGTCACAAAGGCCGACCGTCGCCTGCTTCTGCTAAGCTTAATAAGCGTAAGGTTTTGAGTGTAATCATGTGCTTGCTAATCTCACTGTTAGACTAGTGATTTTTATTGAAACTACTATTTTGGCATGATGTTGTTTTCTAATTTATTTTGAAGTTTCAAATCTCTGGTTATGTGACTTAGCCTAAGCGGGCGTGTCCCCTTTTTCATTTTATTCCGTTGTTTTAAATTGCTATAATAGTTTCCTTTGTTATTTCTCTAATCAAGAGTTGTGCAAAATCTTAACCAAAAACATTGCATCCATACGTAGTTCTACATCAATGCGGCTTTGGATATAAGCATTTTATGAACTACTGGCTCTTATATTGCGTGCTAAACAATGATATTTTACAGTACCATGCAGTACTGCAGCCTCTTGCATCATCTATAGAAAGATTTGGTTTTCCTTTTTGGCACCATATTTAATCATTCTATCATCTATTGTTTGTCGTTAATGCTTAATTTACATTAGTTTACTAGTAGGTGCTGCGCATATTTCCATATTTTAAAGATTTGAAGTATTTTTTATGCCGGTTAATGAAAATGTATTTTTATTGCCTGCCTTCGCTTGCTACGTTGGCTGTCTTCGCTTGCTAGGTTGGCTTTTGATATAATTTGTTTCTCTTGACTTATTGACACGTCATTTTTGTTTGTGCTCACGGCAGATTCATGCAGATGAGACAAAAAGTAGTCTCCTGTTTGCAAGCAGAGCTCTTCAAGTAAAAAATTGTGCCTGTGTGAATGAGGTGTTGCTCATTTCGAATTTTCCTTTGCCAGCAAACTAATTTTGAGTTTTAGACTTTTAGTCGTTCTAAAATTTTAATTTATTTATTTCCATTTTATTGGATTTTGTTTATTATTAATTAGTAGCTTTTAGGATGCTTATTATTTAAATATTTAAACCTTTAATTATTATTATTTCGAATATTCAGATTTTAACAGATGCTGCACTCTTGAAGCGCCAAAAAAAAGAAATTGAAGAGCTTCGTGCAAAGTTTTTGGTATATCTTTATTTGTTAGAAACAATGCCTCCTTTTAGATTTCCTTTATTGAAGTTTAATTTTTTTTTTTTTTATTGTTACTTCAGAGCTCTCAATCTGAACATCTGGAGGAAGAAATTCTTAATCTGCGGAACACCTTATTACAGGTCAGAAGTGGTCTTAGCTTGGCAACCTTTCTCTTGATTAACTCTTAAATTTGATTTTTGCCGTCTTTCAATTTATAGAGTGAGCTAGAGAAGGAGAGAATTGCATTAGAGTTGGAGGAGGAAAAGAAAGCTAAAGCTTATCGTGATAGGAGATTGCTGGAGCAAGCAAAGAAGATTGAAAATCTTAGTTCACTGCTTTTATGTTATGACAGGAACGATAGAACTACCCATTCCAGGAAGGTTTGTACTTAAATATCTCTGAAGGGATTTATTGACTTGTTCGATTATCAATTTAATTTTAAGATCCTGTTTGTACAATTATTTTTAAGAAATATTATAATTGACTGTTACTCTCAAAGATACTGGTAAGTTGTTAGTTCTATGTGGAATTTGATTGTGTTGATCAATCCGGTTGTATTGTTGCCTCGGACCACATGTCAATTTTTCGTGCTCGATGGAGTCCCCCCCCCCCTGCTTGGGTTTGGGTGCCTTGCACCTGAAATATTTTTTCTCCGTACAATGCCTCGACTATGCGTACTCGAGCGCCTTGATGCTGTATTCCCGAGCGCCCCAGCACTATAGATTCGGCACCGCAATGTTATGAGATGCCGTCGCGTTGCGGGATTGAGCACGGCAGTGCTCCAACTTGGCGTTGTAGCACTGTGAGGTGGACTTGACATTTTTTTTCTTGTTTTTTTCATTGTTGGTGTCCCTTGGTGTTATTAACTAGTTTTTTTCTTTTGTTTTGAGTGTGAGAAAACAGTGTAAGAGAGAAGAGAAACAAGTAGAGAGCGAGAGAGAAGAGAGATCTGTACTTATTTCTCCCCATTTTCATAGTGGAATTTTTTGTATGGTGTGACTTTGTGATTTTTTTCTCGATTTCGGGTTAAATCTTGGTGTCCATTTCTTTCCACTGCATTTCTATTTTTCTTCTTTATTTCTATTTCTATTTCCAACTAGGTTAGATGCTATTTCTCGTCTTTTATTTTCAACCTTGTATGGTAAAGTTAAAGCTTTTTTAGTATTGCCTATATGTTTGCTTAGTATTACCCTTGAAGTTATATTATTCGACATGATTGAAAGGTCAGCACATGCATAATTGTATATTTTCCTACATTCTTAATTTGTCCTGTGACTCCTTGCTTTGAATGGAGATTTTTGTTTTTTGTTAATTACAGCAGGCAAAGGATAAGCAATATGTTGCATTTTTTGGTTAAACTTTTTGGAAAGCCATTTTGGTTTAGATTGGTTTTTATATCTATGTCGGTTTAGTCTACACACGGATATGTGTAAGAGAATGTAATTATTTCAGCGTTCATTTTGATTATTGCCTTCCCTGTCCATCTGTTTGGGTCCATCATGCTCAATTTTAATTATCTTTCTCTTAGGTACTAATGACCACCATATTTGTTTGACTTTTGCTCTTCTTAGGGGTGTCAAAAATGGGTTGCGGGTCGAGTTTGGGTCAACCCGACAGTGACTCGATTCTATTCTAGCTGATTCGAACACGACCAGTTTTTGCAAATGGGTCAGATTCTTAGACCCGAACCTGACCCGCCTCGTGTTCGGGTCAACCCGACAAGACCTGCCTCATGCGGTGTCGCGGACACATGGCTTGCTGTGCCGGGACATAGTGATAGGCAGGGTCGCCAGCTAGGCTGCGGGGGCAGCACCGGGCCGCCGGTGATTGCGGTCTTAGGGCAGCGTCTGGCTGCTGGCTAGAACGCAATTGGCATGTGAGGGAAGCGCCAGGCCGCAACCGACGTGCGAGGGCAGCGGTCAACGACGACGAGCAGAACAGAGGCTGGACCGGTGCACAAGAAACTGTCGATAATGTCTTATGGGCTTGACTGAGTGGGACAACGTGACTAAACGGGACGACACGACTGACTTGACATCTAAGATGGACGCGACCGAGCGGGACGACACGACGGATGACGTGACGGACGACGAGACTGAGCGGGAAATCTCGGTCAAACTGGGTTGATTTCGAGTTCCCGGGTCCAGGTCAACCTGATCTGATCCGGTTTTACAAACGGGTCAAAATCCCTAACACGAAATCGATATGGTTCGAATTCAGGTCAACCTGAACCCAAAATATTCGAGTCATGTTTCGGTCGAATTTTCGGGTCTTGTCAAATATTGATACCCCTAGTTCATATGGTGTTGTTTTTTATAAGCTTTATTTGGTATCAGTGCCTTAAATATGTGCTGAAGCTACACTCTTGGGCAACTTTATTAAAAATCAAGTTTATTGGATTTCTTTATGAAGTTGTTAATATTTTTTTATAAGCATTAGTAACGCCTGGGTGATTGTGACTTTGAGTGATCAAGTCATTAATAAGAGTACTCATTTTAGATATTTTGGGTTTATTGTTCAGAATGATGGTGAAATAGATGGGGCTATTATTAGTAGAATTCAAGTTGGATGGTTGAATTGGCGGAATGCATCGAGATTGTTGTGTGATAGATAAATCCCCTCAAACTTAAATAGGGGTGTAAGTGAGTCGAGGTGGCTCGTGTGCCGGCTCGAGCTCGACTCGATAACGAGCTCGTTTATTAAACGAGCTGGAGTTCGAGCTTGAGCAAGCTCGGCTCGCGAGACGGCTCGAAATTATTAAATTTTAATATTAAAAAAAATCAATCCTATCCGCCCTAGTGTATTTTGAATTCCCGCCAGCCCACACATATATTTCAAAACTCAACCGCCTGCCTCTCACTTCTTGAGCCACGAAATAATAAATGCTATCGGTAACCCAAAAAATATGCTCAATACTCTTTCTATCTCTCTCTTCTCTGACAGGCCCGCCCACCAAATAATAACAAACCTAAAAAATCTTCTCAATACTCTCTCTCTCTTCCTCCCGCTAACAACAAACCCAAAAAAGATTGGAATACATTTTTTGAGGACCGCACCGGAGGCTCGACGAGCGGCTCAAACTCGTTTGCAATGGAACATGTCGAGCTCGAGCTTGAGCTCGATATTTGACATTTGAGCTCGACTCGAACACCCACTGACTCAAGCTTGACTCGACTCGTTTGCATCCCTAAACTTAGGAAAAAATTCTATAAGACAGTGGTTAGACCTACAATGCATTATGGTGCATAATGTTGGCTATTAAAAGAGAAGCATATATGGGCTCCGAAAATTCGTGTCTCAGCCTCCCCTCTGCTTTCGTTCGGGGAGTTTTAACGAATTAAGTTCTGAGGTAAATTTTCCGAAGGCAGATTGGGATTATAAATAAGGCACTACCCAGAGATATCACCCTCATTTTGCGAGGACTTTATGATCTGAGTTCTAGTTTCCTATAGGCGCAAGCCCCTGTAATTAGTTACCCCTCTTGATCACGAGAGATAACTTTTGATTAAGGATAGTCGTTGAAAGAATACATCGTACACGTAGATAGGTAATATCCGGCATATAGTTGCATCATTGGTTTGGTATTTGAAAGTTTGGTTTTTAAAATTAGAAATTTCACCATCTTGCACTTAAAGCAGATGGTGAGGGGAGTTATAATGAGCCCGATCAAGATCTTATGGTTCCGTCATCTCGGGCCATCGTGGTCCTTGGTCTACTAGTGTGAGGAGCTAGTCGACCCAACCTAACAGAAGGATTCTTGTCAGCAGCCATGAGTTGCGTCGTCCAAGGGTACCTTATAGACCTATGGTGAGGGGAGTGATGATGATCGGTGAGCATCAGAGATGGCTGGCAAAGCTGTTGGGTTATGATTTTGAGATTCATTATAGGCCAGAGTTAGATAACAAGGTGACTGATGGCTTGTCTAGATGCGGGGGAGAGTTCCAAGAGTTAGCCATATCAGTGCCATTGATTTTGAATTTAGGGGCTATTAAAGAGGAGAGTGATTAGGATGAGGAGGTGGGAAGAATTAGGGAAGATTAATTGAGGGATGAGAATAACTTTCCTGGCTATGCCCTAGAGGGGGAGAGATTGCTATATCGAGGTTTGTGTTGCCTCGGACCTCGGTCCACATTCCACATCTCCTATAAGAGTTTCATGGGAGCATTGTTGGTCGTCATTCTAGTGTGCATAAGATATATAGAAGATTGAAAACATAGTTATATCAGAAGGGGATGCACAAAGATGGTGGCTAGATATGAGGTATGCCAGCATAACAAGTATATGACCATGGCTCTAGGGGGTTACTTCAACCCCTAGCTCTACTAGACATGGTGTGGGAAGAGGTCACCATGGACTTTATAGATGGGTTACCCTGATCTGAGGGGTTTATCGTGATTCTGGTGGTAGGTTACATATTGAGCAAGTATGCTCACTTCATTCCCCTATGACATCTCTACAAGACAATGATAGTGGAAGCAACATTCATCAGAGAGGTGATCAGATAGCATGGGATATAAGGTCTATAGTGTCCGACTGAGATAAGGTGTTCCTCTGTTACTTTTGGAGGGAGTTGTTCAGGCTGCAAGGGATAGTACTATTGAGGACCACCGCTTACTACCCTCAGACAAATGGGCATGCAAAAGTGGTTAACAAAAGCTTGGAGACTTACTTGCGATGTTTCGCTTCAGAGACACTTCGGTTGTGGCCGAAGTGGCTATCATGGATAAAGTACTATTACAACACTTCTTATCATTTGGCTTCGTAGATGACTCCTTTTACAGTGTTGCATGGAAGGGATCCACCCACTTAGTGCATTTTTGGCAGAGTAGCACACCAATTTCTTCAGTGGAGCAATACTTGGAGAGGGATAGGGTGTTGAAGGAATTAAAAAGGCACTTGCTGAGGGCTCAACGGATTATGAAGAAACAGACAGATGTGCATAGGAAGGGCATCCAATTTGAGTTGGGGGATAGGGTATATATGAAGTTTCGTCCTTATAGACAAAGGACGACCACTAATAAGAGAAATGAGAAGCTGTCATTGATATACTTTGTCCCTTATGAGTTAGTAGAGATGATGGGGACATTAATTGGAAAGTCTACCGTTGACGTGGCCGTAGATCTACGGCCACGATCTATCCGATGTACTTTTGATTTTAGTATTGCCATTTTCTTATTGATGTATTTTATTTCATCATTTTTCCCTTTTTACCCTTGCTCGAGGGTTGAGTCATGTAGCCCCTTGAGGGTATTTGAGTCATTTTGCTTTATGTCATTGTAATAGGCTATTTAAAGCCTTCCTCTTGTACTTTTGAAGGTGATGAATGATATTAAGAAATTTTCTTGCGTTTGTCTTCTTGAAGCTTTTGTAAGAGCTTGAGAGATAGTTTGAGAGCTTGGTGGAGCCTAGGAGAGGCCACCCGTCGTACCCAACAGTCACCACCGGTGTCTCTTGGTTATCCTCTTTCCGTCTTTCCTTTCTACCAAACACTCACCACCGGTCATCCCCGCCACCAACCACCACCTCACAATCTCACCCATCCAAGCTCAACCCCACCACATCCACCAAAACCGAGCCTTCCCCATCATCTCGCCGGCCCTCCCTTTAGCCGCCGGCCTCCCCTACATCCACCACCATTCCCTCCTTCAATCACCGGCCCCTTTTCGTCTTCCTCCATGAATTTTCAAATTTTGAAATTCAAAGTGGAAGTTTCCAAATTTGTCCGACGCCAAATTAGGAAAGTTTCAATGAGGTCTCAAATTCAAATTTGAATTTGAGCGGATTTGAAATTTCCATCATTAATTAGTCGGAGCGGATTAGGAAACGCATAATTCCTTTTCCCCAAACCTCCTTCCCCCTCACCATGCCGCCGACCCCCTTGGTGGTCCCCTCTCCTTTAATGCTTCATTAAGGGACTTGATTACTTGCTATTTGAATTTCAAAATCCACTTATTTTCCCTCCAATCTTACTCAAATATGAGAATAATTTCAGATTTGTGAATTAAAACCATTTCTATTCCACCTAACCTAGCTCCTCCCTAACCCTAGCCGTTTTCCCTCTTACCCATTCGCCGGCCTCTCTCCCCACCGTCCACCCTCTCTCTCTTATCCCCTCTCAAGGTGTTTTCTCCTTCATGGAATTGAGATGAATGATCAATCCGGAGTTTGATTCCGGTTTTACGTACGACGGCTAAGATTGCATGGATCTTCTCAACGTGAGGGAAGAGAAACTAGCGGAAGGTACGTGGTGAATCACGACGTTTCTCCGAGAAGGTGATTTTCTTCCTTGACTCATTTACTTTCTAAATCTACTTACTTCGTTGAGAGATTGTTCAAGCAAGAGATTGTGTCTACTAATCGCCATCCACTAGTATTCGTAGGATTGTTACTTCTTTGCTTTTGGATCTCATTGTTAAGCAAATGTTAAGTTGGAAACTACCCCTCATGCAATACTTTAATTTCCCTACGTGTTTTGATTTCGTTTAGTCTCTTGCGTAGCCTAGCCTAAACAGAAGTGACCATTTATTAGTTTCACTTTGTTGTTTTAATCGCTAATAATGAAATATCTGAAATTGATCTTTAAATATTTTGTGCAAGTTTCCTATTTTGCATATAGTCCTGCATCAAGAGAGGATCAGAGTTGTAGCTTATCGATTGAGGTTACCCTAACTGCTATCGTACTCCCAGTGTTTCACAATTCACACTTGAGGAGAGTTATTGGGGATCATGCAGCTAGTTCAGATTTACTCGTAACATCGACTGAGGACTTGGAAGTGGTATTGAAACGTCTTGAGCTGAAAGGGGTTTGACAGGGAGAATGTGGGCTCAAGGAAGTGCTGATAAAATGGAAGATCTTATTTGACTATGATGCCACATGGGAGTTGTTTGAGAGAGCGAAGCATCAGTTTCCATCTTTCCTCCTTAAGGATAAGATGGGTCTTTGGGAGGGAGGTATTGTTTGGCTGGTCCCTTGACTGGTCCAACCGGTTTGTGATTGACTGACATTGTTTTATTGGAGGCATAACTCATGTTCCCCTTGAATAGGTCTAGCCTCCTCTACGTGGGGTCCAACAACCAACAATTAAGAGGGATTTAATGTGGTTTAGGAAAGAAAATTCAAAGGAGAGGTTGTTTAGGGATTTCCTTTATTTTTGTATGCTTTAAGTAGTATATTTTCCCTAGGGTTAGGACATCCATGGTTTTGCTGAATTGCGTTTGTATTTAGATTTGTTTGGCTTCTAGCCAGTGGCTTGGGATTCGGAGAGCCGAATTTTCCTCTCAAATTGAAGTTCCATTGTATCTTGTTTGTTTCCTTCCATTGACTACAAATTGCTGAAATTCAATTTCAGCCAAGGTTTTTTTCTATTTCTACAAGAGTTTCCTATCACAACTCGAGCACCTTTCCTACTTCTCGATTTCTTTTATCTAAAACCCTCAAAGAAGCCAATCTCCTTCACCTCTCTCATTTCTCTTTGAATGAAAGATTTGAAGGAGGAAGAAGTCTTACTCGATTTCTGGAAACCTGAAATGGTGAAGCTCTCTCTACCGATCTCTGCTGCACTCAATTTCACCTAGTGGAAAACAAGTATCTCCCCCTGAGACACACAGTTGCTCTCTCTCTCTCTCTCTGTGCAATTTCCTGTAGTCGAAAATCACACACCCCCACGTCACGACTTTGGAGGCTTGAAGGAAGGAGAAGCAGATCACAACTTTTACATCCCTTTCTAGATTGCGCCCTTGACATACACGAAGAACCCCCATAATGATAGCTTTTTCACCCTGGTTTCTCTTTGGAAGAGCCGAGTGTGCTAGGCCACCATTGACTTTGATTACCTGCACACAAAAGGTTTGACGAATGCAATTACCCATCTTGCCCCTCGATTTCCTATGGATAAATTACTATGATGCAAATTCCACTTATTCTCCACAGCTCAGAAATGCTGGTAGCAACAGAAAACGTGGAAAAAGAGCTACAACCAGCTGCTTTTCCCCTCCGCATGCAATTTCAGCCGTCCGATCACACTTATCTGATTTGGAAAGTTTTTTTATAGGCCAAGCCCCGTTTCTGAAATCTGAGATGAAGAAGAAGACTCCTTCCGAAAATTAAAGGAATTCCAGCTTTGATACAATATTGAACAGCGAGCAATTTTCTATTCTTTTAGATGAGCCTAAACTCAACCTATATACATGAGGATACCCTGATTAACAGGTCTTATTTCAAAAGAATGGGAAACAAAATCTCTTGCAAAATATGAAACTTAATTACCTAATAAAGTCAGCATTCCTAATATAGTGCACTGAATCTCTATTTTCCTGCAATTAGCCTATATATTGCACTTAGACATGATTTTAAACTTATTTATTCATGATGATTTCTTTTGATATTGTCTGTGATGTTTTGTGACAGATTTGTCTTGCCCATAAAGTTTCCTTATTTGAAAAGCTACAATATTTATGCATCTGACTTGAGAATTCCTTTCTGCAAGTCAAATCTGGAAGGTGACATTTTGGAAGCCGTTGAAGAGGAACCAGAGCTAAGATTGTTGCATCCTTTTAGTGAGCTGGTCCAAGAAAATGAAGACCTTGTGGATAGCATTCCTTTTAGTAGCAACTTATCTGAGATTTCCGATTATACAGATAGGATAGAGTGCTTTTCTCTTCCGAATGCACAAGCTTTGTTAAATGTGACCAGCAGAAGAAAAAAACATCAAAACAGAGATACACTAGTATTATTATTTTTTAGTATCCTTGAATTTTTACTCTTCATATTCATAGAATGATGGCAGATAATGTTTCTTTTTTTGTAATTTTTTTAAAATTTTGTAGGGAGGCGATCCATCAAGAGAACATCTATCAGAATTTTCTGAACTTTGCTTTGAGGATGATGCCGAGGTGCTTACTCTCTCTTCTGTTCTGCTGTATTCTTTTAACAGATTATGTGATATTTATTACTTCTCTTTAGATGAAATCTGACGATGTGAAGATTGGGGAGTTGAAAATTAGCTGCTCAGAAGTACAATCCACTCCTATTAAAAGCTGTTCTTCCTCTCCGTTTCATTTGCCTGATGGTGCATCCCTTGGCCATAACAACTTGACTTTTCGAGAACCAGAAGCAATTATTGTTATTAAACATTTTCAGGAACAGGTCCTTTCCTATTTAATGAACCTTTGAACTGGAACATAGAAGCTATTATTATGATTAATCAATTTTCCGTTTTCATAGATTAAATCTCTTGAAGTTGAGGAAACTTCAGGACAGATGAATTTAGATAATGTTGTTCTTGCCTTAGCAACTGAACATAATGCTTCCTTTAGAGAGAAATATGATGAGGTATGCTTCTTTTTCTCACATTTTAATTCTGTTAAGATCAACCCATTGTTTCATGAAACTGTAATGTGGAACACTACGTCAAGAACTTTATGATTTTTTTATCATTACATATCTTTTTTTTTTTTTTGATTTTTTTGCACATTGTTAAAACTGTGTGAACATTTGGATGTAGTGTAGTTCTCTTCTTACTTTTATTAATGCTTGGTCTCTTAGCAGATGATTATTGTATATATTTTCACCGCTTTTTCAAATCTATAATGAACTGAAAATATTTTATTTGCTAAATTTACTGGTCTTAAGTATTATTATCATCATCATGAATTGCTTTTGTCCAACTATTTGAAGTTGGGATTGCGAACCCTTACTATCTATTTTTTCTAGTTGAGTGGTGCTTGAGATTTTAAAATTTACTTTGTGCAAATCCCTTTGCACAACTTCTATGCTACTATTGGAGCACTTACTTTTGTTCTACCTATACTCTTCTTAATCTTCCATGCTAATTTTATTTTCTTCTTAGTACGATTGTCCAGGTCCCAAATCTTAGATGAGAAAAGTGAAGGGTTGCGTTAGGTAGTCGATAGCTAGCATAAACCTTGTCGAATAATCATGAAAAGATTGGAGTAGCTCTAGTGGAAGATAAAATTAGAGAGAGAGTTGCTGATGGGGACATCAGAGCTTGGAAAGTCTATCAGAGACGTGGCCGTCGATCTACGGTCACGATTGAGTCGATGTGCTTCTGAGTCATATTATGTATTTTCTTTATTATTTTATGTTGTATTTGTTTTATTAGTGTTTCCTCTTTTACCCCTTACTTAAGGGATGTTGTATATAAGCCCAGAGGGCATCATCGTCTTTTTATTTTCTTGAGTCATTTGTACGAGGTTATATATAGCCCTCTTGTTCTCTTTTAATGTTAATGATTGAATGATAAAATTTTTCCCTTGCTTGATTTCTTTGTGAGATCTTGAGAGTGCTTGGGAGAGAAATCCCAAAGAGAGGGAAATCGGATCACCCACTAACCTTGGAGACAGCCGGGTTCGTAGTTCTTCTTCTTATCTCTTTGTCCTCCTTCTATCATCCACTAGCCGCAGGCCCATAGCCTTCCTGGACCACTAAACTGCCAGCCACTCAACTCCCCACCACCTTAGACCCAACCCGCCACCCGCATCCACGGCCAACCACCACCGCCGTCCTTCCCTTGGCTCCTCCCTCCATTTTCCACTTGCCACCAAATCTTTCTTAAATTTGATTTCATAATTGGTAACTCTATTAATGATCAAATTCAAATCAATTTGAATTTGAAATAGTTACCCAATTTATAAATCCTTTTTTTAGGAATCCTACTAAATCAATTCCTATTTAAAGGAATTTTAATTTTAAATTAAGAGAGGTTGAGATATTTCTTTTCAAACTTAATTTAATAATTTAAATAAGCATTGAATGCCCCATTAAACTTCTCCCTCTCTCTATAGCCCCCCCTCTTGTTGTTTGAATTAGGAATTGCTTCCTAAAAGCCCACCTCCTCTCTTGGAAACAATTCAAACTTCCTCATCCTTGGCCGAAATTCCCTTAGCTCTTATTTAATTTCTTTCCAAAGGAGAACCTCTTCTTTTGGAATTAAATTAAAAGCCCCTCCCTCTCACCCTTGCCGTCGGCCCCTCTCTCCCTTCCCCTTGATTATTTCAATCAAGGGATCTAGAAGGAAGTTGTTTGAACTAAATTTCCCTCCACTTAAATCTCCCAAAACTTGAACCAAAATTCTCCTAGCCCTCCCCCCTTGGCCGACCACCTTTTCTTACCTTCGCCTACTTGGATTCTTGAGAGAAACCTCTCTCTTTCAAGGGAAAACGACAAGGACAACAAAGGACCACCTCCCACAATAGTTCAACGCAACTAGATCAATGCATGACCGATCCAGATCTTGATTATGGCATTGCCTACGACAAGCTAGGTTTCGTTCACATCCTTCACTCCACTTTCTTCGACATCAATCCGAATATCGAGAAATCGTGCAAGTTTCTTTTGCATTCATCTAAAAGCATTGTAGTCCTACATCAGTTGCCTTAGATGGTTTGATCACATAAAATGATCCTCTGATTAGATTTGACTTATGTTAAGAAATGTAGAGGTAGACTTAAAAAGACTTGTTTAGAAAATATTAGAAAGAAACTTTATTTTTTTAGATTTAAATGAGAATTTGACTTTTAACAGGACACAATGGAGAAAAAAGATTCATGTGGTCGACCCCACATAATGGGATAAAAGCTTGATATTGTTTTTGTATAACAAAAAAAAAAAGCATTTGTGAGTCAACAATATGCATACCATTCATGGTTAGGCATCTTGGCCTTAACGCCATGCTATAAGTCCTACCCTCTAAATACAAACAACATTCCAACTCTTCATATGCATTGAGACCAGATCTCTTTGTTTTAAAAAAGACTAGGTGGGTTAGCTGGTAGCGTTTTTTAGGCAGGACAATAAATCCAGCGGCCAGGCTGGATATGCATCATGTGAGGTGTAGTTTGTAAGTCCCTTGCACTCCGTTAGACTTAAGCTTGAGACACTTCCCCTCAATAGTTTTCAACTTAGTTTTAGGGTCCAAGGCAGATCTTGACTTCAATCACTTCAGAAGCCCCCATTTTTCGAGCATTTTCTCCAACATGTATTGTTAGATTGTAAGCCCCAACATTCTAAATTAAAATGGTCAACTTAAAAAAAAATTGGATTCTAAATTGTAAAGCCCAATATAAGATAGTTTTGAGTGCTTCTGAGTTTTCCCTCAGAATCAATTACTCTTACTTGAGGGATTAGTTGTTTGTGACCCTTAAGAGCATTTGTGTCTTTTATTTCTTAATTGTAAATATTAGCTATTTATATCCCCTCCTCTTTGGAGAGGGTAATGATGATTATTAAGAAAAATTTCAGCACTTGCACTCTATTGAGAGTTTAGAGCGTTCTTGTGAGAACTGTGGTGAAGTCACTAGATGAGGGCGGCATAATACCCACCAACTGCAGGAAGCGTCAGGGTTCGTGGTCCTCTTTCACCCATCCCTCTCTCTTCTCCCTAACCGCCGGCCATTACCTCACATCTCCCTCTCTTGGCTGAAACCCCCACCACCACCACCTCAACCTTAGGCCGACCACCACCCCTCCCCCTTTTTGTCCTCTTGTCTGAAAACCCTCCACTCCACTGTTCCCTTATAGCCGTCGGCCGTCAAGACCCCACCATCCACCCTAGCCGCCGCCCCTTGGTCCCCCCTACTCATTTGAATTTAAATTTCTAAGATCTTGACTTTAAGCACTTTCCTAATTTAACCTCTTTAAATTTGAAAAAAGTATTTAAATTCAGATTTAAGTAAATTTGATGTTGACATCTATTTCTAAATTATAAAAGTTAATTTAGGAAAGTCCCCCAATCACATAATATTTGAATTTTAAATAGGATTGATTTAAATCCACTTTCCTAATTTAAGATTCTAATTAAGGGGCTGTTTGGTTGCCTGTAAAGAAAATGCAATGTAAAATAAATGTAGTGAATTCCGAATACTTTGAGACTGTTTAGTTGTCTGTAAAATAAACGTAGGAGAATTGTTTCCCTTATTTGGTTAGGTAGAACCAGAGTAAAGTAAAAGTAATTTTTTTTGTAATAATTTATTTTGCATATTTTTATAAAGGCAGAAAAAATTCATCAATAAACTGCTTCTCACTTCAAAATCAACTATTTTATAAGGCATAATCCAACTAAAAATCAAAAGATAAAAGTACTGTAAGCTTATCAAGGGAAGCACGACTCTAAATTATAATACTATCCTGCAAGGTCACATAATAAGCAGATGCATTCAAATGAAATAGCATTTCATTCCCAATAAAATGGATGTGTTCCTTCGAAGGAAATCATATTCTTGATATGAAGCAGTAGCACAGTCGAACAAAGAAAAGGACTAACAACAAACACCGAACTACAAAGTATCAGAAATGCAACAAAAACCAACAAATCTACCAATAGGATATAATTCATCAAACAATGTTTGATATTTCTTCTAAACAGACCAAATGTAAGATAAAAGATTCTACCCTGAAGAATAGAACTCAAAACCCTGAAGGCTGTAACCAGAGGCCTCTGCAATCTACCATAAAGTAAGCAGCATAATGAAGTTAGGAGCTCCACCCCGCCATTCTTCCTTGCAACGGAAGCATTGTCCGATCCTTCTACACTTCACAGATCATAAAGCTTGTCAATCATACCAGCCATTTCCTCCACATCCGTAATCTCATCAAGCGCACCTGCCTTTCTGCCTTCCAATTTTGACAAAAAATTGGTCCTTGGCCCATCCAACAATTGCACGATAGGGTCATCTTTCGCACTAGTTGCTCCAGGAACAGCATTGTTCAATCCCTGAATATTTGCAGAAGGAAATGTCATAAAAACACAAACACAACAAGAATGTAGACGCACAAAAAAATATGGTATGGGAAATCTTTGCAATAAATAACACTAATTTTAAATTTGCAAAAATAAATTTAAAATAAACCTAACTTTATGAAATGTTGAATATAAAAATCTACTCGTCATAAACTTGAGAAGAAACGTACCATAATCGACATCAGAGTCCATCTCCTCATCGTCCCGGTTAGGAAGCTCTGCCCGACGTTAAAAGAGAGTTTGAAATGATCAGAAGACGAAAGGCATGAGTAAAATAGTAAGATGGACGAAACCTTCTTCGTCGATGGGGATCTATTGTGCCTGTAGCCAAAGTCCATATGACCTGGTATTCTGTATATATCGTTAAAATGCCGAGCAAATTAAACCTTATTTCTCTTCACATTCCTTAGCCATAGAACTCCCTCTAGCTTTAGATCTTATTCAGCTATTTGCTTCCCCACTCAACTCACAGAAATCTCACAGCCATGAACTCCTTCCACCTGTAGCCAAAGTCCATATGACCGGGTATTTTATAAGCATCTCCTCACACCAACAAACCGAAACTTTAAAGCCA